GTTGCTAGATGACATACTTGCGGCTGGCATTATTTGCCGCTCGTCTAGCTCCTGGGCGTCTCCAATGTGCTGGTGCCTAAGAAAGATGGCAGTCATCGCCTGTGCGTCGACTATCGCCGTCTGAATGGAGTGACTCGTAAGGATGTCTATCCGCTCCCCACGATAAACTCCATCGTAGGTAACCTAGGTGATGCACGGTACTTTACCACGCTTGACGCCTCTAAAAGTTACCTACAGGTCCGGATGGGTAACCGTGACCAGTGTAAAACTGCTTTCACGTCCCACAGAGGGTTGTTCGAGTTTACTCGTATGCCCTTTGGTCTTTGCAATGCTCCTGCGACGTTTCAAAGACTCATGGACCGCGTCCTCGGGGAAGCAAAGTGGTCATACTGCATGTGCTACCTCGACGACATCGTGATTTATTCACGAACCTTCGAAGAGCACTTGGCCCATGTTGCCGATGTACTCGAGAGGGTGAGGACCACCGGAATGACATTTAACCCCGCTAAGGTCCAATTAGCACAGACCCGTGTTCATGGCTCGGTTTTACGCTGTGCGAAGGCTCCATAGATCCGGATTGGGAGAAACTTCGAGCTATTCTCGATTTTCCCGTGCCCCAGGACGTACGTGGCCTTCGCGGTTTTCTAGGAATGGTCAACTTTTACCGTTCCTTCATTCCGTCCTGTGCCCGACTGCAGGCGCCCTTGAGCAAACTCTTGCGTAAGTCTGCTGAGTGGCAATGGGGACTTGAGCAGCAGGAGGCGTTTTGCCGACTGTCTAACGCCATAGCGGAAACAGCGCAGCTCAAGCTCCCCGACCTGACCAGACCGTTCGTTGTACAAACTGATGTGAGCGATATGGGTTTAGGAGCTGTTCTCCTACAGGAATACGATGGCGTGTTGCAGCCGTTGGCCTTTGCCAGCCGCCCCTTGGTCTCTGCGGAGAAAAATTATTTCGTGACCGAAAAGGAGTGCCTCGCCATCGTGTTTGCACTGCGGAAGTTTGACGTCTATCTTGATGGGACGAAATTCGTAGTGCAAACGGATCACAGTGCGCTCAGCTGGCTGATGTGGCCCGTGAGCCTGCCGGCAGGCTGGCGCGCTGGGTTCTCCTGATAAACACTATGACTTTGGGGTGCAGTATCGAAAGGGGAGCACCAACATGGTAGCTGACGCGCTATCTCATGCCCCTTTGTCGGCCGAGGACCTTGATCCCGGTGCGACAGTCGCTAGCGGTGCCTTAGCACATGAAAGCGTCGGGGGCGAAACAGCAGCTTCGCCGCCATTCGGCGAGAAGGGTGAGTTCCTATGCGGACAAACCTTGGCTGCTAACCAGGAAAGCGGCGCACCGCGAAGCGGCCAAGCGCAGGAGCTTTCCGAAGGCCACGAGGCCGAGAGCGAACCCGTAATGCCGACTCAAGCGGTTGTTGCTGCGGTCCTGAGTGGGTGCGATACCAGACTCCTCCATTTTGGGAGATTGGGCATCGCTTTCAGAAGAGAAGAACTTCTGAAGGCCCAGCAAAGTGAACCGTTTTGTAGCGAAATGTGCGACGGTCTCAGAGAGATGGAGCGCCGTGACGTTGCTTGTCCTGCAGCGGGCGCCGATAGCGACTGTCTCGACGAGACGGAGCGCCGTGACGCTGCTTGCCCTGCAGTGGGGGCGAATAGGGGGCTCGAACCAGCGTGTGTCGCTGAGTCCCCGGCGGATTCATATTTGCTGGACTATCACGGGCTCCTGCTCAAGTATATAGCCACTGACGACGAGTCCATCGATCTGTTTAAGGTGGTTATGCCCAAAAGTCTGAGAGCCGCACTAATGCGATCCTCTCACGTCGAACCCATGGCCGGTCACCTGAGTGGCTCGAAGGTTTTTGCAAAACTGAGCCGCGTTGTGACCTGGCCCGGCATAAAGCCAGACATTTTTCGCTATTGCCGTTCTTGCGGCGTCTGTCAAACGGTGAAATCAAGGGGTGGCAAACCGCCCAGTTTGATGAAACCGATTGTCAGTGAGCGTCCGTGGCAAGTGGCCACCT